AGGTGAGGTTCTCCCTTGGGTCCACAAAGCCAACTACAAAAGAGCAGGGTGAACGAGTGGTAGTAAAAGCTTTGGAATGTTTATAAGCACTAGGTAAGCTAAGAGCTGGACAGGATGGTGAAAATGCAGGGTCACAATAGCTTGTATATTTGCTACACCCCCCCAAACTGAGCATGGTGGCTCTTCTTTGATCAGGCCTCAACTGAAGTGCTGCGTCTGCATCAGGACTTCAGTGTGAAAGATGAGTCACTAACTGGAATGCATTTGGTGGGGATACCATCAGATGATGTAATTGGGGTGGGTGGCTATGCCAAATGAGCAAAGGATTAAGGTACTATTGAGGCCTGGAGGGTTTGAGTGGTAGAGACAGTGACTATGAACTAATAGATCATATTCAGGAGGCACTTGACAGATATTGGAAGGTATATTTTTCTGGAAGAAAAACATACTCAAACTTTGGGCACCTAATGTCAACCGATGAATAGATGGGGGTTTCTGGCGAAAAAACATTTCTGAGAACTGCCCTAAAGTGGCAATAACTTGTATACTAATTGTAGTCAAATGATTTTATGTCAACTTGACACTCCTGGCTAGGGGTGGAGTCAAACCTATCCTGATGCTGTCTCCTTGGGGGTGTGGCTTAGATACATAAAGACTGTGGAGACGGGCACTTTCCTCTCTCCCCTTTCACTTACCCGCTTGCTGGCCACCCTGTCAGCTGCAGGTGCCCTGCCATGGAGTCACACGATTTTGTACCCACCGGCGTGTGACCTTCTTGCATTCTGCACCATCGTATGTGGCTGCGTGAGTCTGAAGAGGGACTTATAGATTAATATTGGACTTATGGGCTTGAGTTGGAATGGATTGGGATGCTTTCTTGATACATAATTCTTGATATAAAGCTCTTTCATATATATATAATACATATTTTGACATATATATGTCACTGAATTTTTTTCTCTTGTCAACATGGCCTAACTTATCCCTGGAGAGAATTATACACCGTTCATCTGTCACTTCTTGTCAGTCTCCCTCTCCTAGCCATTGCTACTGCATCATCAATTGCCCATGCTGTGCTTCCTGGCTGGGAGCCCTGGTGGTAAGCCCTTGCAGCCTTTCCTAGGAGATAGCTTGCCTAGTGATTTAGAAATGTAGGGCTGCATACCATTGGGTAGAAGGATCCAACCATCTCTGTGAGCAAAGGGAAGTTATGAGGAGGACAAACATTCAACTTTTCTGAAATGGTTCTTCCATGCCTTTACCTCCAGGAAGAAAATATTGCTTTTCTTTCTCTCTTTTTTTAGTATTGGTTTTCATTTTCAGAAAATGGGCATTCAGCATTCTCCTCATCTTCTCTAGCTTTCATAACTTTTAGGAAGTTCTTCATATGTTCCCGTTCTCTCTACTTTCCATTTTGCGCTGGAAGTAGGATGTGTCAGATCCCATCCACCTTCAGGGACTCACAGAGAAGATAATCCTTAACTTCCAGTTCTTCATTTTCTCTTCTTCCACTTTCTTCCATGGACATTCTCACTAGATCTCATCTGTTCGTCTTTTAAAAACCCTTCCTTCTTCCTCGCTCAATCTTCCTGCCAGTGTCTACTTGTGCTGGGGTACCCCTTTGTTTCCATATGTCCGATACTCTCCATCTTCTCTGTAGGAATAGTTAACCTATTGGTTTGTCTCCTTGTAACTCTGAATTCCCTCTATGGGGTGACCACCTGATAAGGACAAGACAGTGTCTGGGTAGTAGGCCATTTCATTATCTCCACTTGGGGTGTTCTACCTTGAACTTGTACCTAGGACTCCTCTTCATGGGTGTCCACAAAGGGCAAGGAAAGGCAGAGACCTCTGTTCCACGTAAGATGTGGCCTGGCAGCCTGGGTCCAATGGGCATAAAATATCATTGAGGCCACGCCAAAGAACTCTGAGACTTGCCTAAGAAACACTGAGGTTTGACCCCAGGAATCACTAGGGCATAGAGGAATAGAAGGGCTTACCTGTGTTTCATTGTGCCAAGGATTCTGACACTTAGAATCTAGAGCTACCATTACAGGTTGACCATCAAACATTTGTCTAAACAAGGGGGACTTTTTCTCATGCAACCGCCTCCTACCTCATTGTGGTGTTCTGGACGGCATGGTGTTTGTCACAGAATCATTGTGGCAAGTGATAGAGGAGATCTCGTGGCGCTTGAAGAGGAACTTGTCCAGGGAGCATGGTCTGATCTGGTGGGCCACTCTGGAAGAGAAGTTACATCTGATGACCTTGATAGTTCTTTGACACCTTTATTACGAAAGAGGAAGGTCTGCTTAGCTAGTATTCCAAAGTGAAACATGTTCTGCACTTTGTAGTACAGGTGTGAATTGTTACATGCTTTGTACTATTTCTTCAAGGTTAATGATTTTATTTTGTTCTCTCTTTTTTCAGATTGTATGTTTTGAGTTTCTTGGGATTTTTGCTTCTTTGTTTTAGTACTACTGAAATTGTAGTAACTTTCCCTGGAAATGAGAAGCTGCTTTGCTTGTTTGCCATAGGTTTGAGAGTCACCACCTATCACTCGATCTCACGTTGGCTTTGGATTGGTTAGTTCCTTCGAGGCAGGATCCCATTGGACTCTTTGCAAAGGAAACTTCTGAAAGACTAAGCATGGAAGTCATACACCACTGAGGCCAGAAGTAGCTACTGCGGCAAGAGACAGCAACTACGACCCGGGTTTTAACCCACATTGGACACGAAGAAGTCTCTGGCAGAGACTGAGTAGAGAAGACATTGAAGAAGAGAAAGGCACTCGGTTTCAAACTTCAATTTTTCCAGATTTTACTATCTTTTCCTTTAACATGAAAGAAGATTTAATACTTGGCCTAGAATTTCACCCTGAGAATATATAGTAAAAGAGGGTTTATATGCAGATCTGGAGAATCTCTATACTACTGGCCATTCTATTATGTTTGCTATTTTTTCCTCTTAATTTTACTTATTTATAGGATTGTGGTGAATCTAGAGACCACTTTTGAAAGTATCAACATTTTAACAATCTTAAATCTTCCAATTCATGAACATGGAACATCTTTCCATTTATTTAAGTATTTTTTCTTCTGTTTCAGCGGTGTTTTTTCATTTTCATTGTATAAGTCCTCCATGTCTGGAAAACTCACAAGGAGGACATGTCGGATTCCCTCTGGCTCTCAAGGGGGAAAGAGAATCCAATTTCAGATCAGCTCATGGTTGACTTCTGTTAGGCAGAACTTAGATATGACTCCACCCACCAATCTTTATTTTGACAGCAACCATTTCTCCCACAGCACTATAATACTCTCCTAGGTTTGCTAACCTGTCCCAATGACTACATAGAACTCACAATACTCACAATTATGGGGCCTGCTAGGGAAGTCAGGAAAAAGTTGAGGCTTTCTACTTCCCTGAAGAGTTGCGGTCTCAGAAACCCACAGTGACAATTCTACCCTGCCCTGTAGGGTCGCCATGAGTCTGAATTGACTTGATGGAAGTGAATTGAGTAATTAGGGAAATTAACAGGTTACAATTAAGGGTTAGAAATTTTCAGATTACAATTATTTTATCTATAGTTCCTTTTTTCGAGCTATGCCAGCAGATACCTCTCTCTGGTTTTCAGCCACTCAATCAAGCGGCCCCTTGGCCTCTGCCCTGCTTAAACAAGTGTTACAAAAACCGTTGACAAATACTCAAAGGGCATTCCACTCTCCAAGCCAGTCTCCTGCCCAAAGGTACTCTGCTTTATTCATTTTGTGGGCCAGGAAGCCCATAGCTCTAGCTCTATCAAGTCATGCCTTAGCTGCCACTGCCTCTTTGCGCAGGGTCCTCAGTGTCCAAAAGATACATTCACCTCATGATTCCTCTTCTCTGATGGTTGTGAGATACCCCTCTTCCTCCTTCTGAAAGGGCTCAGCAGAACGTCAAAATGAGCCAGCCCCCGCAGTAGAGTCCTATAACCTTAGTGGTATGCTCCCACCCGTCATCTGGTGAGAGTTTCAGATTATGGCTAGTAAGGTCCATCCCAAGTAATTAGATTGCACCACAATGTCCATGGTTAAATTTAATACTTGATTTTTATTCCCTTAGATGCTATTGGTTTGTTGATCTTGTTCTCTGCAGCTTTGCTCTGCTTCCACCATCGTGTGTGGGAGTTTTCCTGTGGACTCTTTGGGATTTCTATAGACAGGATATCATCTGTGAATAGAAGTAATTTTACTTTGTATTTTCCAATCTGGATACCTTTTCTTTCTTGCTCTCTCTCTCTCTCTCTCTCTCTCTCTTTCTTTCTTTCTACCCTGGATAGGACTTCTGACGAAATAAAGAATCAAAATGGTAAGAGTAAACACTTTTATCTGGTTCTTGAATTCAAAGGGACAGCACTCTTTCTGCATTAAATACATAATAAATAAAATAAAATAATAGATAAAATAAATAAGTAAATAAAACAATAAATATTAAATTTAATATAGGCCCCGAATAATAATAAGGGATTTCCCTTCTAGTCCAAAGTCCCTTAGGGTTTGCACCAAGAGAGGATGTTGGATCTTATCAATTACTTTTTCTAAATCCATACAAATGAGCATAGGTCTATTTTTCTTTGTTCTATTGATGCTATACATTATGTTAATTTATTTGCAATATTGAACCATCCTTGCATTTCTGTACTAAATCCCCCTTGGTCATGGTACTTGTCTC